TGTGTGTGTGTGTGTGTGTGTGTGTGTGTGTGTGTGTGTGTGTGTGTGTGTGTGTAGGGGGAAGTATAGGGTGTGTGGGGTTAAAGTCACAGATTTTAAATCAGTTCTTTGGCCTTTAACGGGCGCAACAGAAGCCCAGTATGAGAGAGCAGAACAAAGAGGGCAGCACTGCCCTCGACCAATTAACATTCCTGCAGCCTTTATGAGCCGCCTGGACCCGCCCCTTCACTCACACCTCATAAAAGTCACAAACATCAATTCTTGCAAACCATAACTGTCATTATAATCCCATTAAAAACAAACCACTGAGCAATTTACAGTGAACACCAGGGCCACGTTTGCCAGGAGTGGGGAAGGATTGTCCCTGCTGGAACACAAATGGGACTAAACAAGTGGGAAAGTTTATTGGGAGTAATTTGACAAAATATGACATGATAGACTCCACAACTGAAGCAAAAGGGGCTAAAGCGCTATTTCTTCATCCTCCTTTGAATGTAATTGGTCTTGGCAAACACCGAGGTGACCATGCAGTGCAGATGTCACAAGTTTAAAGCTGAATCAATCAATTTGGACACGTTTAGAGCAGAAAAAGACCAAAACAAGCTGCTAAATACAAGCTAAAATGCCCTTATGATGTATTTTAGGTCCAGCATCCTCTCTGTTTTACTGCTGTCATTGTTCAGCTGTGTTTATCGACTTTTGAGAAAAATCATCTGTCTCTTTGGCTGCTAAATTGTCCGGCTTGTCCTGTGAAATTAAAACCAAAACAACAAGCTAAAGGAGACTAAAATACTCGCTAATGATTCCAGGAGCCATAAATAAAGACTTCTAAAATACAAAGCAGCTAAATTTTTTCTTTACCATGTACAGAAAGTAGTAGTAGCACAGATCTATAACCTGCTAAAGTCAGGTGGTTTATCCATAAGGCCTTTAAATGGATAACACAACAACAAAAATGGTGCTTTTAAAGCCAAAATAACAGGATTAAAGAGACTAAAAGGTTTTCTGGATCCATGAAACACCTGTTCATGCTCAGCTCAAGGCAGAGAAAGCCTACATTTAAAACAAAATGCTAACTTGTTAATGGTGTTAACTATGACAATGCAGAAACCCATTATCAGGCTTCAGAAGGGAAAAATTACACTGAGACTTTGGAAAGACAAAATTCCGAGATAATTCCAACCATCCATTTTAATCCGCTTATCCAACTCAAAGTCGTGGGTATGAGATCATTTATAAATACAATTTTTGATCAAGTAAATTAAAATTATATCATATCTGTAACATACAGGAGTGAAAAAAAAATCACTAAAAACGTGTATTTGTGTTATTTTTCTGTTACCTGAAGAAATCTTGAGGCAAGGATCATTTTCAAGGAAAGTAACAGTTTAGTTTAAACTTGTAATATTGCATCTTTTCCTGTAGACAAGCAAAATTATTCTATTCTAAACTTTATCTTTATTCTACGGAGCCCCCCAGGGGACATGGGAGAAAAAAAAAATTAGGGAGGAAAAAAAAAAA